GACATCTACACATCTGAATGGGGAGGGGGCAAGGGAGAGGGAAGCTGTACCTGTGCTGTTCCTATAGCTTGGAGAAGAGAAGCTGAACACCTTTCCTTATGCCAGGAGTCGGCCACCTCAACACCCCCAACAACCAGGTAGGGTCAGTCACAATCTGCTTTCCCCTTTGTTTCGCTGTTTTGTCCCAGCCTGGCCCAGGGGGAGGAGCCAAGGGTCCCTGTGGGCGTGGCCAGGCTGGAGCCCCAGTGGTACCACGCACTCTGGCCGTAGGTCTTGGTGCTCCTCTTCGGAGCCACCAGCTGGACTGCCCACTCCTGTGCCTCCTTGCTGAGGGCAGGGTTCAGCGCCAGTGGTTCTGCCCCATGACGCTTGCGGTACTGGTTCTGAGCCCCCAGCAAAAACTGGTGACTGAAACTGAGCTATCTTTTATCTAATTGTATTGTCATGCAAACAACACACCTTAAGATGATTAACTTTAAAATAAAGAGAGATTTTTTCGACGTGCCCCTTTTTTATGCAGTGCTGGTATATATATATATATATATATTGTCATATACGTCATACCTCAGACCACTTATGTGCTCATATCTGCTGCAGTTGCCATACTCCTCCCTGGACAGACCCAACACCACATTTCATGTTCTTCATGTCATCTGCAGATTACTTCTGATGACACGGTCATAGTTGGGTGTGTGGACAGTGGATGGGAGGACTAATACAGGGACCTGGTTGACCACTTTGTGAGATGATGTGGGGAGAATCACCTTCAGTTGAATGTGACAAAAACAAAAGAGACAGTGGTGGATTTCAGCAAGAATAAGTTTCTCAAGTCTGCAACTGTGGGACTGACGTAGAAATTATGACATCATACATGTACCTGGGCTGTCTACAAGAAGGGCCTGAACCGGAAAACATTTGTTAGTTCAAGAACAGTTGTAGCTTTCATGTTTTTAGTCTTATTGGGAGGAGCTACCCGATGTCCATGGTAACGTTGCAAAAGTAACACGTCAGTTTTTTTTTTTATGACTGATCCCAGTTTTTTGTAAAACAAAAGTTTAAAAGATCCATGACAGTTTTGATTTAAAAGATGAATTTGTGGAGAATTTGGATATATGTAGCATTACGTGTTTTATATATATTTTGTGTGAAACACTTGGAAATATGTAACATGAACAAAAAGACATATTATGCCTATTCTTGCTTCATTTTTGCTTGAATTAATTTGTGCTCATTGCGCATAAATTCTAAATGTATGTGTTGTGCATAATAATGAATAACATTTATCTTCTTTATTAATTTGTTAAATAGACCTTAAGAGCAGTGGGTGCGAGGGCATCGTCTTACCTGCCAATGCGGCACTGAGCACCTGGCATCTGCAGGCCCATAAAATGGCAGCTTTTGAAGACAAAGCTCTTCTACACTCCAAGGCATCTGGTGCACATACCTTGATTAATACTGCTTCAACCGAGAAAGCAGAAGAGGACGACCCAGTGCCACCCCACCTCAAGTGAAGTGGAGACCAGTGCCCAAGGCTCCCCCTGAGATCGGCTTTAGCCACTGGGAGCCACTGGGAGCCGCTGGGCCCGGCTCAGCAAAGCCAGAAATGCCAACAGATGCCGTGATGCAGCGAGTGTAAGAAAAGCAAAGTGCACCTGCATGCAGAGCCCTGAGCCTCGACCCCTGG